CCCCAAAACCCCAAAACCCCAAAACCCCAAATTTCCACTCAAAAATATAAAAATTAAATAAATCCTTCAAAAATGCAAAAAAGCTCCCAAACCCCAATCCCATATCAAAAATCAATCCCAAAGGCGAAACACCCCTCCCCAACTCCCTTCCAAACTCTCTCCCTAAAATCCCCTCTTGCCAAATAAGCCCCCATCTAATTTAAAAGCCCTTCAGCTCCCATCGCTTATAGTACTAGAGAAGGAGAGAAAGTTAGCCTCAGTAGCATTCCATGCTATTGCAGAAGAATATAAAATAGATTATTCAGCCAAGTTCGGGTCATGAATTGTGTATGAGGATTATTGTAGGAAGAAGGTGTTTTGAAGGAATTTTAGGGTTTTAATGAAGATGAAGACTGGGGGAGAGGGAGATAGGTTGAGGGTGATTGGAACGAAGATTAGGAAGAATGATTTACAGAGGTTGTTAGGTCAGAAATACGCACATTTTGACCGTATTGAGTTCTTTCAGACGATATTAGGGAGAAGAACTTTGATAAATGGGGCATTTATTATTAATAGTTTTGTGAAAATATGCTCTAAGACTCTTAAAAATATAAACATTTGGAATTTATCTCTTTCACATAAATAACTTTGCTAATATTATTCTTATGAATCACATATGACAATCGATTGAGTTTATCGATTGAATAATCTTAGAAGGAAAACTTAAAAGCAAGCTAGACAAAAAATCTAGCCTGAAGAAAATAAGATTTTACAACAATGAAGGGTAATCAGAATTCTATTTAAACTCAGTTTTTAAATTAATAATCAACCAAAAGAACATCAATTCAATTTTCTATAGGTATCTGCTGAACATAGAGAGCATAAAATGTATTGTGCATAATCTATCATTGTGATTATCTTGCAACGTCAAAATATTTATCAATAATTCGAAATCCGATCCAGAATATTGTGACCAACTACAATCCATTGTGGAAAATACAAAATTCGAAATACATTTAGAAAGTGATTTGTAAAGGAATAATAACATTAAATCTGACAAGACTCAATAAAAATACTCTCAACTAAAATTCTCAAAAACTAATTAGACCCTAAAACACCACAATAATAACCATCCAAATTTCAACCCCATAAATTCCCCCCGGGGTTTTGGGGTTTTGGGGTTTTGGGGTTTTGGGGTTTTGGGG